GGCGCGCCCCGCCGGCCGGCCGCGCCGCCGCCTGCTGGACGTGGCGGTGTGCACGGAGCGCGCCTTCGTGGTCTACACCATCACTAAGTTCCTCATGGCGCTCGGGCTCTTCGTGCCCGCCATCCTGCTGGTGAACTACGCCAAGGACGCGGGCGTGCCGGACGCCGACGCCGCCTTCCTGCTGTCAATCGTGGGCTTCGTGGACATCGTGGCGCGGCCGGCGTGTGGCGCCCTGGCGGGCCTGGCGCGCCTGCGGCCGCACGTCTCCTACCTCTTCAGCCTGGCGCTGCTGGCCAACGGGCTCACGGACCTGAGCAGCGCGCGCGCGCGCTCCTACGGCACGCTGGTGGCCTTCTGCATCGCCTTCGGCCTCTCCTACGGCATGGTGGGCGCGCTGCAGTTTGAGGTGCTCATGTCGGTGGTGGGCGCGCCCCGCTTCCCCAGCGCGCTGGGCCTGGTGCTGCTCGTGGAGGCCGTGGCTGTGCTCATCGGACCCCCCTCTGCCGGTGGGCCTCGCGGGAGGACGGGTGGCGCCCCCCAGTGCCCTCTAAGTCCCGGCCCAGGGTGGTGCTGCCAGGAGGAGGGAAAGGGACCCATCAGGCGAGACAGGCTGGTGAGGTCGACCACCACCACCACCACCCCATGACCAATTAGCCCCTGCCCCAAGGTGCCGGGAGGAAACCAACATCAACTGAACAGCGACTTTCCCCACCCCACCCCACCCGAGGCAGGTCGGTCTCACAAAGACCCTGTACAGACACCTGTTCTCATTGTGCACCTGCGGAAATTGGGCTACAAGGCCTGGGACAGGCGCCAGTCCCGGAGTTAGAACCAGGGACTGCCTGGTGGCACATGCTCACGCCCTCCAAACCCTATCGCTGGGCACCCTATCGCTGGGCACTTAAGTCAACAAGGATGGGGACATGTCTTTGGGGCATCTGGGACCAGGAGCAGACTGAGTGCTCAGTGGGTGAACGGGGAGAGGAAGGGGAGGTTCTGGGATGTGCAACATTGTTCTCCTCCAGCACTGAGGCAGGGTAGTCAGGAAGGGCTTCCTGCAGGAGGTGACAGGAGGCAGCCCTGTGGGGAGCTGCACAGCAGGAACCTGCACAAGGTGTCTGGGAGAACGTTCCCATACAGGTTAGCCAGGAACAGGTGGCAAGGTCCAGTGGTTCTGAGGGGACCCATGTGGATTCCATGTGACAGTCCTGCGGAAGCATCTGTTTCTGCCCAGCACCTGGTAGTCAGCACTGATGAGGAGAAAACTCTGCCACTTTGGATTTACCCACCTGTTGAAACGCCTCTTTCTAGGAAGATCACAGAATTAATTGCCTAAACAGGGACACCCTGAAACGGGTCACCAGTACTTCCTCAGGGGCAGCTGGGGCCTCTCTGGACAGAGCAGGCACGATACCCCCTTCTCCCACTTGTAGATGGAATGAGTTTTGTTATGTGCTGTGAGGTGTGATATTCATGTGGTCCTGGGCCTGAGGAATTTATTGCCTTTGGGCAGTTGAGGGCTGGACTCAGGCTGCAGGGGGACAGATAGCATCCACGCTGCCCACCTGGACTGGCTATGCCCATCCCTGGCAAGCTTGGTCATCTCACCTGACAGGTTGAGCTACAAAGCCCCCAAGTTGGTGTGTAACTGGTCCCCAAGCCCACCACCCACAGCCTCAAAACCAGCCCTCTGCTCACCTTAGAGGCTCGGGACCCATTTTTCCACGTCCTCATTTGTGGATGTAAAGGGCAGTGGGAAGTGGAGGAGCCAGTGTGACTTCTCACACCACAGACATGACAGATCCTGGGAGGGACAGGGACAGGACTGCTGGCTGGACTCTGAGGCTACCAAGATACCCACCTTTGGGCAGCCACAGAATGTTCCAGAGAGGATGGAATTCAAAGGGACGACGACACTTCAGAGGAAAGCCTTTACCATGAAATTCTTTTTTTCCTGATTGTGAAAGTTCCATGTCCTTGTGATAGAGAACTTGGGTAACTCAGAGGGGGACCTAGGCATAGCTTCTGCACTAGCCCTGCCTCCCAGTCTGGTGCTCATGGGCCTCGGGAGATAGATCATTGGAGACCAGGGCATCAGACTGGGATGAGCAGGAGGGGAGGGCCCCAGGAGAGCAGGATTGAGTCCAGTTCTCTGCCTAATACCACAGGGCTGTTGGAGGCTTGAGTCAGGGGGTGCCTTATGAACGATAAAGAGTTCCAGATCAGTAGAGACGAGGTCCAGGAAGGGGAAGTGGCATCATAGCCCATCTCATGTTTTGCATCTGTCAAATGGATGTAGGGAGCTGCAGGGTGGGGTCCCTGCAGCCTCTCATCTCCATATCCCCCACCCAGGCCGCCTGGTGGACGCGCTGAAGAACTATGAGATCATCTTCTACCTGGCCGGCACCGAGGTGGCCTTGGCTGGGCTCTTCATGGCCCTTGCCACCTACTGTTGCCTTCGCCACTCTCGGGACGTCCCGCCTGGCCCAGGTGCTGAGAATGGGGCCAGTGACACCGAGGACGCTGAGGCAGACGGGGACTCCGAGGCTGAAGTGGACTCCGAGACCCTGCCCGCGGGCACAGCGGAGCCCGACAGCCTCGTGCCCCTGGAGGTGCTGAGCCTCCAGACCAGGCCCGCAGAGCCCGAGGCAGAGGCCGGGCCCCGGCACCTCAGCCTGGACCCTGAGCTTGATGCCAGGCTGGACTCCGAGCCGGACCCCAAGTCAGCACAGGGGGCAGCGCAATAGCTGAGTGTCTGGATGACTTCAGGAAAGCGGGGTCCCTTCTCACAGCCCCAGCTGCCTGGAGCCTGGTCTAAGGCACGCTCTGGGGCCAAGCCGAGGCCCCAGTTTGATTCCAGAAAACCCCTCCCTTTGCTGCCTGGAGGTCATGGTGGCCTCGTCTCCGTCTCCGTGAGCTGGGTGGCTGGGGGACGGCTCTTTCTCTGGGTTTCCATCCCCTCTGTGCCCGTTGGCTACTTCCCCAAGGGTTTGGCCGGAGAGCATCTGAGGGGGACCCCAGGCAGTGGCGTCACCGGGGGATGCAGAAAACACTGGTGACACGTCACAGAGGCTGATGCCAAACTGATGGTCTAATTTTGGAGCAGTCAGCATTTATTATTTTTATTAAAAATACCCCTGTGGTGAACAACAGAAATAATTTTCAGCTCCACGCTGAGTTAAGGGCCCTCCAGAGTTGCCACTACCCAATCAGAGTGACACTTTTGACAATCATGTGGCTTTTGTCCGCAGTCACAAGCTCGTGCCGTTTTCGTTGCTATTTCATTTTTTTTTGTAGTCGCTGATTTTTATAAAATTTCCTAGTGGTTTAGCTACAATCCTGTGGTAATTAAGGAGCCCTGATGGCATCATGTCTAAGGTGGAAATGCCTGCTATATGAACTGAAAGGTCGACAGTTCAAATCCACCAAGATGCTCCTGGAGAAAACCAGGCAGTTCCTCCCGTAAAGAAGCACGGCCTTGGAAACTCCGCGGAGGGTCCCTATGAGTTGGAACCAACTTTATGGCTGTAAATTTGATTGTGTTAGTTAGTATTTGTGAATCTGTAAGAGTAACTTTTTTGAGGATTAATTAATTAAAAAGGAGAAAACCTTTAAAATATTTTGGCTCAGTTGTTCATTAATAATGTAACTCAACAGAGAAAGATTTTACAAAATTAATTTTGTTGCTAGGGAGCTCTTGGTAACAGCAGCCAGGAAATCAAGAGACGAATTGCATTGGGAAACTCGGCTGTGAGGGACCTCTCAAGAGTACTGAAGAGCAACGATGTCAGACTGGAGACTAAGGTGCGCCTGATCCAGGCTATAGTCTTCACAATTACATGCTTTGCATCAGAGAGTTGGACAATGAATAGGGTTGATAGAAAGAGAACTGATGCCTTTGAGCTGTGGTGCTGGAGAAGAGTGTTGAATATACCATGGACTGCTAAGAGAACAAACAGGTTTGTCCTGGAGAGGGTGAAGCCAGAAGGCACTTTGGAGTCAAGGATTCTGAAGCTTCGTCTGACATACTTTGGGCATGTTCCAAGGAGGGGCTGGTCCTTGGAGAGGGACATCATGTTTGGGAGAGTGGAGGGGCGGCGAAGGAGAGGAAGACCTTCGATGAGACGGGCCGACTCTATGACTGGAGCAGTGGGAATAAGTGCGTTTGAGATGGCTAGGCTGGCACAGGATAGAATGGCATTTAGGGCTCTTGTACATAGGGTCGTTATGAGTTGCAAGTGACTCTATGGCACATAACAACAACATCATCATCACTGATAGTACATACAAGCCCTTTACAGAGTGAACCCTCTTCATCCTGGCCCTAAGGAGGTTGGGTCGTGTCCACCTATCACCGATAAACTGAGGCACGGGGGACCATCCCAGGTCTGGGCACAGGCAGTCCCTGCTGCACCTTTCTGACACCTGCAGAGATGCTGTGCTCTGCCTGACAGCTCCAATTGGGACCCACATGGACCAGTGGCTGCTGTCCTGCGTGGCCCACTCTGAGAACCCCACCTGCTTCCACCCAAGACCGGCCTCTCGGCACTAACAAAGTTTTTTGGCTTTGGACCCTGCCCACCTGTCACACTTCCCCCTTCTGAGGATGAATGATGACTATACTGCCCCAACAGGGACACCCAAGAGTGAAAAGGGCCCCTGTGACACACTGAGCCGTGCTTGGAACTCCTAGGCAAAGCAGCGTGCACAGCACCCCAGTTCTCCCACCTGCAGACGAGAGGAAGGCCGTGTCAGCTGGGCTTCTCCCCAGGCCCAGAGACCTGGCACAGCTGGAGAGGCTGAGATCCCCTTAATTCTTCCAGCCCGAAACCTGGGGTCCCCCACCCAGCATCTGTCCTGCACCCCCTAATAAAGGCTGTTGAGTGATCGAAGAAGAGAGGACATAAGGACCCACAATGCAGAGTCTCAGAGGCCAGGGGAGACTCAAGCCTGGACCCAGCAGATTCAAGTTCAAATCCCACTCTGTCCCTTTCCCCTGGTGTGGACTCGGCCACCCTGTCCATGAAAGGAGATGGCGGGGCCACAACGGCCACTGCGAGGAATGAATGATACACGTGAAGGGCCCATGACTGCTTCCCAGTGAGCACACCAAACATGGGGGGTTTTGGGAAATGGTGTTGGGAAGGGAATCTGAGGCCACTGCAAACAGCCCACTCCATCTGGGTTTGTTTATTAAATACAGGCCCAGTGCCCCAGCCCTCTCAGAGGAGGGACTGAGCTGGGGGACAAAATAAATAAAGGCCTCCGAGGTGAGGTGCACAGGACTAGGCCAGGCCAGGTCAGGGACACAGGTGACACTGGCCCTGACATCGGCCACCCATCCCCGACCCCCCTCCTGGCGGATTCCATGTGGGGCCCGTAATGGTGACTCACGAGCAATGTCCTGGACTCCATGCCCATTCCAGCCCCCTTCGCCTGCCCTCTGCTTCCTGAGCCAGGCCCAGAGAAGAGGCTCTCTAACGAGCTGGAGAAAGAGGAGTGCAGACAGCAGTGTCCAGGTCCAGGGCAGGCCTGCCCATCCCTCAAGGCAACAGGCTGCTGCTCTAGGGCAGAGGAGCAGGGAGCAGGCACCCTGGCCAGCAGGCTTTTATGTGCCACCCTGTGTCCAGTCCAGGGGCCCCATCCTGACCCCCTGCTGTGCTCCTCCCACACACCCTACCCCCTGATCCACACCCCCAGGGGCACTCAGGAGCCACGCCAACTGCCATCCTTGTCCGCGCCATCCTTGTCCACGGGCCCGGCAGCCCCTCGCGCCTCCTGGGAAGGCTCTTTGGTCCTGTCTTCCTCCTCCTCTTCCTCCTCATCCTCCCTGTCTGTGAAGTCCTCCTGGGTGAGGCCATAGGCCAGGGTGGTGTGCGCCAGGTCCACCTCGATGGGGAAGACGTCGGCACCCCGCAGCACGGCATAGCAGTCGTTGTAGTACTTGGACATGGTGGACACGAAGCGCTGCAGCTGGAACACGATGTCCTGGACTGGGGTGGGAGGCCGGGCACCATGGCTGTGGCTGCCACTGGACAAGGTGTCCTGAGTACCCTCATGTCCCTCACTCAGCCCCGGGAGCCAGACACGGCAGCCGCACAGAAGAAACCGGTGCCTCTAACCCAGGTGGGAGGGCGTGGACTGGGCTTGACCTCGTGAGGCCCAGGGGTGGGCACCAGCGCCTCATCCTCCACTCGGGCCTCCAGGGCGCGGGACTGGTTTAGCCCTCAAGGCCTTGGCTTTCAGAGATGAGTGTCCATTCTCCCACCCCGAGGATCGCTTCTGGGACAGGACCACCCACTCCCATAATGCCCACTCACCCTGCAGCCGCCCATCCCCCTGCCGCCCCGCGCACCACGCTGCCCCCGCTCCCTGGGCTGCCCCGCTC